TGTCTGTATTTGTATATAAGTGTATCATCTGCATGCCTGGTGCCTTTGGAGGCCAGGAGAGGGCGTCAGAGCCCCTGGAACTGGAGTTATAGATGGTTGTTAGCCACCGTGTGGATGCTGGGAACCAAACTCAGGTCCTCTGCAAGAGCAGCCAGTGCTCTTAATCACTGAGCCACCTCTCCAGCCCCAGCTCTGGTCTTTTCACCCACAAAGCATTTGCAGCCATGTTCCATGCTGCAGATGAGGAAACTGAGGCTCGGAGAGGAGGCAAGTCTACCACCAGGAAGTAGGCTGGGCCCTCTTGGCCTCACTTGGGAAGACAAGGATGATACTCCTGTCTGTCAACCCCGGGAGCCGCTCAGGAAATGAACCAGCCTCGCTCTGACCAAAGGCTGGTCCCTAGACTCAAGCCACTTCCGCTGGAGGGCACATTCATAGGTGAGAAGACCCAGGGGAAGGATGTAAGCAGTAGCACCAGTCAAGGATTAACAACCATGTCCTCGGTGGCCTGGGCTGCCCACCCCAGTGCGGCTGACTTCAGGCCACCAGCATGAGATCACTGAAAGAGGAGAGAGGAAAAATAAACAGCATCACCTGGTGAGCCCATTCAGGTCCAGACCTGTGAACTCCAGGGGCACTGAGGAAACTCAAACAGGAAAGTGCTCGGTGCACAATGCACCTCTGAGCGCTCCCTTCCCAGCTGTGCGCCAGTCAGCACTCTGTCAGTGGACCAAAGCACCCAAGCAAATCAGCCGAAGGGAGGGAAGGTTTGTCAGGGCTCAGTGTTCCACACCCAGGCCTGCTGGCCCACTGCATCTTGGTAAGAGCATGGCAGAGGAAAGCTGCTCACCCCTCAAGGGCCAGAAAGCACAAGGAAAGCAGAGAGGAAGAGGCAGGACAAATTATGGCTTCAAGGGTCAGCCCCATGACCTCATCCTCTAACCAAGTTCCCACAGTCTCCTGTTAGTCCATTCGGTTATGAGGTTATGAGTCCTTCAGTGGACTAACCCATCGGGTCCCCAAGACTCTGACCTGTCAATCACCTGGAACACTGCCGTGCTAGATCCCAGACCTTCAACACATGGGTCTTTGGAGAACATTCCAGATCAGGCTATAATGAATTAACCCATTGAACGTGTACCTGAGTAAACTTTTAGCTGTGGCTCTGTTTAATAAATTGGCTCCCCTGAAGGGGCAAGTCTGGAGATCTGGAGACTGGGTTTCCAGCCCTCACCAGCCCCCATGGCCCCCAGGGACCCAGCACCAAGTGAGGCTTGCGGAGTAAGGCTTTAGGAGGCCTTACCCCTGAGCAGGTACGGGCTACTTCCCTTCTTCCCTTTCCCCTCAGGGCCCTGTTGGTGCTGAGCAGCAATTTCCTCAGGGATAAAACCTTTTATCCAGAGGGAAGCTCATTTCCAAGCAGGATGCTCTAAAGAGAAGTGAAACACCCTTTCCTGCAAGGAGGTTTCTTAAGCCCAGGAAGTAAACAAGTCATAGCGTCAGGAAGTCCCTGAGACTGACCAGTTCACTAGGCCCCTCCCTCCCCAAGCTATATAAAAGCCCTAAGGATGGTGAGAGACAGATACTCTTGAGATCAGTCCACACTCTCCAACCTGCCCACACACCCTGGGTCCTCCTCAACATTTCCCAAGGGATGATCTGAGACCCAGAGAGGGACAGCAAAAGGCCCAGGGCAGCACAGTCACTCAGAGGTGACTCAGAGGGGTCTATGACCCCTAAGCCCAGCCTGAGTCAGAGCCGGGGCTCCTCCCTTCCCCGCCCCCATTTGTCTGAGCGATGGGGAAGAGCTGATGCCTACCAATGATACCGAACCCAGGGATTGTGCCCAACAGCAGCACAAGATACGAGACTGGCCTGCTGGAGGCCCTCCTTGCAGTCAGCTTCCCTCTGCCTGACCCAACCCCCCAGCCCCACAGGGTCTCTAGATGACGCTTTGGGCCTCTGAACCTCAGCTCAGCCTCCTGCAATGTCCACCTCCTCCAGGAAGCCCTTGCTGGTTACCCCATCTCACAGGAGCTACACCTCAAACTGCTTCACTAACTTCCTTCCTGTGATCTCCTATTCCCTTCCCAGAAGACGTCACCCAGCCTGGAGAGTGTGAATCTCAAGCCCAGTTAGCCTTGGTACAGAGTGGTTTCCCTGTTCCATGCTGGGGTCATTGACTATTACCCTCTCCCTCTTCTCCATTTGGCAAACTCCTGTTCATCCTTCAAAGTCCCAAGTGAGTGAGTGTCTCCAGTCCTAGAAGCCCCTGCGTCCGGACTTTCCTGGGCAATGTCACACCTGCTCACTTTTCTATGCTCATTGTTCACAATTCACCCTCAAGAACGTTCCAGATGCCATCTTGATGGCAGGCACCTGGCAGGACCTGAGGAACAACAGTCCTCGTCCCAGGAACCTGCATTCTGTCCCAAAGGCACACACTGATCGCTTCTACAGTTCTTTGAGTTGAGGCTATGAAATGCAACAGGCATTCTGCTTTACCTCCAGAGCTCCCATCTACCCACCTGCATGCAGGGTGTCAGCCGAGGTTCATGGTCCCCTTGGTCTGCTCCCTCGGGAGGTGTCCACCCCACACCTGCCCTTCTTGGCTGTTTCCTCAGTGCTGGAAAGCTCCCACTCGCTACAGCTTCCCATGCCACGACTTCCCCTCCTTCACTCTCTGCTGCCCTCACCGAGGTGCAAACACCCCAGGCAGGGGCCCAGCAGACACATCCCCTGGCTAGGACAGTGCCTGTCAAACAGCACCTGTCAAAACAGCAATTTGGGGGCTGGGGAGGTATCTCAGTGGGTACAGAGCTTGCGGTACGGCGTTGAGGACTGGAGTTCCCATCCCCAGAATCCACAGAAAAACCGGGCAGCATCGGGAGCCCAAGCCAAAGTGGCCAGCTACACTAGCCAAACTGACCGGGAAGAGGGTCCCTCCACCTCCTACCTGCAGGACACCACATAGAGCTTTGCCTAGAAAACTTTCAACTGAACGTTTCCTGTATGCACATGTCACCATATGAACACGTTTCACATGCTGAGAGGGGACCTAACACTCTCCTTTGAGTCCCGAGGCTTTTTTCTTAGATTCTGCTTTTCAGAAAAAAGGGTGCTGCTGTCAAACTTCAAAAGCAAGGTGGGGCCACTCTCCCTTGCTGGCAGGCCAGGGACCTCAGGCAACCTCTGGGGTCCCATCTGCCAACCACATGCCCCGAAGCTCAGAGGAGACGCCCCTCATTGTGGGGTTTGGGGAGAGCCGAGAGACGCCCCATCTAGGGACCTGTGTCCCCCAGGCTGCCTCCCTCCCACAGAGGCCACCCGCCCCATCCCATCCACTGGCACTTACTCGGGGTTTTTGCAGCGACGTCCCCCAGAGGTCCTGAGCAGAGCCAGCTCCCAGCAGCAGCACGGCCAGAGCCCAGAGGACTTTCCTCCCGCTGCCCATCCCGAGGCCAGTGGCAGGCGTTTCCTCCAGGGCCAGTGACTTCTCCAGCCTGGGAAAGAAGGCAGAGGGGCAGCCGGGAGGAGGGACCCTGGAACTGGGTGGGGCTTGGGGGAGGAACAGAAGTACAGTCAGACCCTGGGATCCTACATCCCCAGCCAACACCTGCCCCCTTCCTTGGTGGACAGGCCCTGGGTTATTTTTAGCCCACCCTGCAACCTCTGGCTCTGGTGGCCCGGGTGGGTACAGGCCAGGCAGCTCTGAAGGCGGAGCACAGGGAGGAGGGGGCACTGGCAGGCTGGCGACGTGGCCGTGGCAGGGAGAGGCATGCCACTCCCTGCTAACCCGCTTCCTCTGCTGGGCTGCTGGCAGCTCTCCTCAGCGCCAATGGGGACTGTCTGTCCCAGGGGTAGCTTTGGAAGATGCTGAGGGAGGGGTGGGGACAGGGGGCTGAAGGAGCCTATGGGCCCCTGTGGGGATGTGACTCACGCCTTTGACTCTGGGCTCCAGTGTGCAATAGACTGTGGGATTGTGCAGTAAAGTGATGCATCACCTCCACCCTGAGGGTGCCTGAGATTCGGGAGCCACACAGCACCTGCTTGCCACCAACACGTCCCCTCCTCTGTCCCCACACACTGAAGCAGGGTGGATCGGAGATGTGGGTGTAGAGGCGGAAGGAGGCTCCTGCTTGCTCTGAGGTCAGGTGACAGGGTGGAGTGCAGGTGTGATCCCAGGTCTAGTAGGTCACGGGGGCACATGGCTGACTCCCCCTGCAGTGCCTGAGCACCTCGGCACACCCTGTGAGGCCGAGGGCAGCCGGTAAGGTGGCACCTGTACAGTGTGCATCCCCAAAGGTGGGTCCATCCCCCTTTTCCCCAAGGGCCCCAGGCACTTCCCTCCCTTAGTCCCTCTCTACTTGTGTCTACACCACATTCTTGGACAGCAAGCTCTTGGCCCCAGTCCTGTGTCTCTCTGTGGGTGGCCTGGCTTCTGCCTGAGCACCAGCACCCCTCCCCGAGCCAGGATGACGCTGTGTCCCCCGCCTGACCTCTCGGGCCTCTGCCAGGCCTCCCAGCTCCCTGCCTGGAAGGCTTTTCCTCCCAACAGGCCTCCATCACAGCTTGACCCCGGTCTCCGCAGAGAGGCCATGTCCCTTGCCAGCTGAGACCCAGGGCCTCCTGCCCATGCACAGCTGTGCAGGTTAGAGCCCAGACTCTCTGATTTGCACACTAGACAGCAGCCCCGCACCAGTGGTCTCTGTTTTCCTTCTTTACCCACTCTGGAGTCACCTCTGCTAGCAGTAGGTTAAAACCTGGGTGCCTGATGGAGGTACGCTGGGGGTCCCCTTCCCACAACTGCTCCATCCAGCACAGTCACGGGACCTGTGAGCGTGTATGTGACACGTGAGTACTCCAAATGCCGTCCGTCCTAAGGATAAATCACATACTGTGTGCCTCTGTCTCTCTGTCTCTCTTCTCTGTCATCTCTCTCTGTCTTCTCTCTCTCTGCCTGTGTGTGTCTGTGTGCACACACGTGCATGCTTACAGGCTAGAGGACAACATTCTACATTCCCCTCCATCTTATTGGTTGTTTTGGGTTTTTTTTTTTTTTTGGTCTTTTTTGAAATAGGGTCTCCCTGTAGCCCCAGCCGTCCTGGAACTCACTATGTAGACCAGGCTGGCCTTGAACTCACAGAGATCCGCCTGCCTCTGCCTCCCAGGAGCTGGGATTAAAGGCGTGCGCCACCACACCCAGCTGGGTTTTTTTGTTTGTTTGTTTGTTTTTTGTCTTTTTGTTTTGAGTCTCTCAGTGTTCCAGAACTCTTCAAGGCTGACTGGCCAGCAAAGCCAGGGAGCCTCCTGTTTCTGCCTGCCTGGAACTGGGATTACAGACACACCTCACCGTGCCCAACCTCTTACCTGTGTGTTCTGAGGTTAGAACTCACTTGCAAGTTGAACCATTTCTCCAGCCCCATCTCACACATGCACAGCACTTTGAAAAGGGGCAAATGGAGCATTTCCTTGTACTTTGTGATTTCACCCCAGACTGCCCCAGGGTCAAACAGAATCCATGATTGCTCCAACACACTAGCTTCTGTTTAGGGCTGTACAGTTACAGGAAAATGCATAACCACTCGTGGTGCCCTAGAGCCTCAGACCTCAGCCTCTGCTGCTGCCTCCTCCTCCCTGAAGCCATCTGTACCCACAGACCCCATCCTAAACCTTGACCTCACTGCTAACCCTCCCTTGCTGCCCCCCCCCCGCCCCACCGCATCAGGTCCTCTGTTCTGAATTCTAAGACAGTAGACACATTATGTAGTCTTTCTGCTAATAAGTGTGATTTGTGTCTGTCCACAAAGAATATGGTTTTAAAAAAAAGAGTAATTACAGCAAAACTTTCAGGTTCCTCCACCCCCCCATCCCCCTCAACCCCCATCAGCATATAGAGCTGAGTCTTTTCACTGAGGCAGCAGGCTCTTGGGCAAGCTATGCAACACATGGCCATTTGTTACAACAGACAGAGGAAGGTGGGAATCCCAAAAGGCATGCAGGCTCCCCAAGGCTGTGCTGGCACCTTCTCCAGCTGCTTCCAGCCTCTGGCCTGGTCTGCGTATGTATCCAGTGGGTGCTTGGGGTGAACGTCATCCTAATTGACCCCACAAGGAATCTTTCTGTTCGGATTTAGTGATGGGTGGTCCCCAGAGCTAGGTCTACCGTCCCAGGTCCCCAGGTGTGACCAAACTCTAACATATTCTGCTCCATACAACGCCAGAGGACCGAGTATACATTAGAAGCTTAATAAATGCTCTTGGGTTGAGACACCAGTTCATCTATGGTATTCAGAACTGAGGAGCGGTGGCTCACAGTTAATTCCTTCCAGTGCTAACAATGATCCCTCAGAGTCTTCAGGGTACAAAGGCAGTTACTCAGGGGCAGAGATGCATTGAGTACTTTGTATGGAAGGAAAAAACCCAAGAAGCAAGCAGAACAAATCTGCCCCGGGAAGCCAGTGCCTCCTTTGATCAGGGACAAGGCTTGGTCACAGGCTGCTAGCCCCGGGATGCTTCCTGCAGGCCCTGGGTCCCATCGTGAGGTCAGGACCTGCCCCTTTTCCCCAGCTTCCTGCCAGGTCTGAGAACTTTGTGTCCCTAACCCCAGAAGCCCTTCCAGTTTATGTGAGCTCAGGCAACCTGAACTTGACCCCAACTCAGTGGGATGTCCTCCTGGAACGTTTCCAACCTTTGGCTCAGCTTCCTGCAGACTGGTGGGCCAGGCTTCCTCCAGGGAAGCCTGGGCCTCTCTCTCAGCCAGGGCCTTGCTCTCTCAGAAAAAGGAGAAAAATGTGACCTTTAACATAGAAATGGCATCATTAGGGACGCTCTGTGAGGAAGCAGAGGACACAGCACACACAGTTGTTAAGGAGGAAAGCCTGTCCTTTTACCCATAGCTGAATTCCTCCACACCATCACGAAGGTGTCAGTCTTCCAGGGAGTCAGAACTGTACGTCATACTAAAGAGTGGATGACTTCCAGCAGAGAGAAGCATGTGGGCATAAGGAGGTGTGGGGTTCACGGCCTGGGAACACCTGGGAGCTTGACCCAGGCCCTGCCCTGTACCTCTGAGGCTTACTACCAAATGAAGGGGTCACATATTAACCCATGATTCTGATAAAAATGAGGATTGTGGTTTTCTGACTCAAGTGCCATTTTGAGAGCTTTGAAACTATCTCGTTTAATCTGCCCCTACTTTGCTCGCTGGACACCATCAGCACCCCGACCTTATACATAAGGAAAGTGAGTTTCAGGTTAACACCTGGGTGGGTCAAAAATATTTGCTAAAGACTGGGCATAGTGGTGCATGCCTTTAATCCCAGCACTCAGGAGGCAGATGCAGGTGGCTCTCTGTGAGTTCAAGGCTAGCTTGGTCTACAGGGGTACCCAAAAAGACAAAAAAAAAAAAAAAAAAAAAGATTGCTCAAAGACTGGAGAGCACTGGTTAGGAGCACTAACTGCTCTTACAGAAAACTTGGGTTCAGTTTCCAGCACCCACATGTTGGCTAAACAGCTGCCTGTAACTCCAAAACCAGGGAATCCGATGCCTTTTTCTGGCTTTTATGGGCCCTGTAGACATGTGGCGCATTTACATACATGTGGGCAAAACACTCACACATAAAAATAAATAAATCCAGGGGCTGGAGAGATGGCTCAGCAGTTAAGAGCACTGACTGCTCTTACAGAGGACCCAGGTTTGATTTCCAGCACCCACACGGTGGCTGACAACCATCTGTAACTCCAGTTCTAGGGGAATTTGGTACCCTCTTCTGACCTCTGTGAGCATTGCATGACACGGGTGCACTTACATGCAGGCAACACACTCATATATAAAATAAAAATAATAAATAAAATATTTTAAAAATCCAAAAGAATTTTTATTTTTTATTTTATTAATATTTTATTATTTTTGTGTGTGTGTTGCCTGCATGTAAGTGCACCCATGCTGTGTAGTGTTTGCAAAGGTCAGAAGAGGGTGGCAGATTCTTTTGGAACTGAAGTTATGGACAGTTTTTAGCTGCCATGTGGATGCTGGGAATTGAACCCAGGTCCTCTGCAAGAGCAGCCAGTGCTCTTAACTGCTGAGCCCTCTCTCCAGCCCCCTGAGAGAATTTTTTATTATTTTAGGTGTATGAGTGTATTGCCTGCGTGGAGGTGGGCGAACCTGCCGTAAAGTGCCCGCAGAGGTGAGAGCTTTTTAAAAAGGATATTTGCTCATTTAAAGGTGGGCGTGCTGGTACACAACTGTTATCCCAGCACCTGGAGGGCTGAGGTAGAGGGATCTCAAATTAGAAACCAGTCTGAGCTACAGTGAACCGTGCCTGAAGAAGAAAATATCTCATTTACTCTATCTACAGTGTTAGATGGGTGGTCACTCTGTCTCCATCTGGAAGACAAGAACTGGGCACGACAGGGAAGAGAGATCTGGGATGCAAACCCACAAAGTCACTTTCAGAGCCTGTGCTTAGAACTGACCACAGGTGGTCAAGGCACGCTGGTGGGGCTGAAGCCAGAGGCCCCAGCAGGGTTAGTGGCGGGGAAGGGGAGGGGTCCTGTTGTGCTCTAAGAGCTGGGAAGCAGGCTGGGGTGGAGAGGACACAGGAGTGGCTGGGTGGTGTCACATTGTACCCTTGTTGTGCCCGTCCCCTATTACAGATATGCTAGCAATGAATTGTTTTTCCTGGTGCATTGCTTTAAAAGGACAGATTTAACCCAAGCTATATCACTTTTTTTTCTTAAATAAGGAGTGGTTTTGTTTTTGTTTTTAAGACAGGGTCTTATGTAGCCCAGGCT